GTATATTAGTTTATATAAAATAGTTTAAAACATAGAAATACCCATCGAAGTTTACAGTATTATGTTGATCATTCGTAACTCCAGACATAGTGACGCAGTTAATATAGGTTGCTGGTTTTAAGGGTTTGTTGTGTGCAAACCCGATACTTTTTCCGTTCTTATATTGGAGAAGGCTTTTACTGCCTATATTATCTACATATATATAGCGAAGAGTATCCATTAGATGTGATTGTTCTTCTCCAAATTTCTTAACAAACCTGAGTGTTGACAATCCGGGTTTGTTCCGCCAAATATTGTAGTTTGGGTATATAGTCGCGACTCACTTGGGCACATGTGAGGTATACGTAGTAGAAATAATCGACTAAGTTCTCAACTAATCGTAGATCATGTTCTAATGTACGTACGGGGCAGTCCGATTCTCGTATCCAGCTACACTTCATTATCCGCTTTGCTAGCCCCGTCACTGGATTTGTTTTACGTCCCGCAACTATCTCATCTTGTATACTTTTTAGTTGTTCATACACAACACCGCTCACTCTATTATTACTCTCCTGCCACCAACATGCCCAATAGACCTGACCACCACACCAAAGGCTACGCGTCCCCTGGACGTGGGCACCGGCGAATGCGTTTTTATAAAAACGTGGCTCGGTTCGTTCGCTGACGCCGTAGCTAGTATAAAAAACTGATTGTATACGTTTTATGAAAAATATTTTTAAACCCTAATACTCAAAACTTGTGTGGCAACATTTTTTTCTCTTACTTATGGACGTTTTCAAAAATACATTTTTTGGTTTGATTGAAAACTTGACTGTAATTTTTTGAAATGACGGTGTCCGTCCGACTTTTTGGACGATTTTGAAAAAGTGACTTTTTCTTGGAGGTGCCAATTATTGGCAGGCCAAATTCGCCGCGAGCATGTAGGACAAATCTGCGGACCTAGAAATAGCACCTCCAAGAAAATTTTCAGGACCATATATGTAATAAAAATTGAACTTGACTTTTTTATCGCCACGGTATAACTTGAAACGGCTTGAGCTTAGGCCATCATCAACGCCTGAACGTATAGAGGGTGTACCTGCCCCAGAACCTGTCTACCTCTTTAAGTGTCCACCTTTTGGCTCAGGACGGACCCTGGACAGTTAAAGAGGTTTGACTATAAAGAGCAATTAGAGCTTCTGATTAGCTCAGTTCCAATCAGTGATATTAATGGTCGGACCTCCAAGCGCAGGCTGCAGGACCGGCCTAAAAAGTCACGAAAAATTGGCCTAAATAGAAATCGGACATATAAAGAGGTAAAAACCTTTTTAAAAAGAATTGGACATATAAAGAGGTTTGATTGTACTGTATTTTTTTCTCTCAAAAGGGCCAGTCTTTAAGGGATCAAGAAATTTTGTTCAAAATCAAGGATTCAAGGGCCAGAGTCCTAAAATACTCGCGTCCTCGGCTCAGCCTTTATGGACTATTTCCGATTTATTTTTAGACTGATGAGTAGTAACTGTAAAATTTGGCGAAGAGTATTTAAAATATGCCTGATATTTCTGATTAAGAGATGTCATAGTACGGTAATTATCAATTTGTTTAAGATCCCGTAAAGCCGTACTACCTTGATTGTCCTTGATCCTTGATTGTAAAATCAAAGTGCTATCTGAATTTGACGAAACGCACTTTTGTTTCGCGTTCAACTTTCAAGGCTAAAAGGATATCATTGGCTAGTGGGTCTTTTCGGAAATTGGAACGTGAAAACTTGATTTAAAAAAAAGCAAGAAAAGGGTCTCGCCCTAAATATATTTAGTGAAAGTTGAAACCTGTATCGCAAAAGTCAAACGACTCAAAACCACCACGCACTGAAATCTCAAATCTGAATAGTCTCATCACTCATCAGTGATCAGACTCTGATCAGTCAGTCTCAGAGAGTCAGAGACGAGCTAGCGAGAAATTAGAAAAATTTGGTTGAAAAAAGTGGGAATACAAATATATATTCTGGTAAATATTTGTCTGCACCAATAATCGCTTGATTACTTCGTATTTACTTATAGCTGCCTATGATTTATTACTTTTATAACTCTTATACTTTAAAAAATATCTTCTCGGCTAACTATTTTTAAATAACTCACTCTGACACTCAGCCTTGACTCTTTAGAGTCTTATGGGGTTGTTGACATGAAAATTTGATTGTTCCTCTACTCTCTCTCTACTCTCGCTAAAAGTCTAGCCTCTACAACTGAGTACTACTACTGCACCATAGGGCATAGTCCTCTACGACAGTCTGTGAGTCTACTCTACGACAGTAGTACTCTCTCTCGCTCGCTCTCTACTGCTAGCTACAGAGAGTAGAATATATAGAGAGCTAGAGTACTAGTAGAGGAAGAAAGTCTATTAGCTAGCCTCGACCTCTATAGCTAACGTTAAAAAGTTTTACGTTAAACCTTTTACATAATATAATTCAAAATAAATAAATAACGGTTGTCGTTCAATTTTTAATACTATTTATACAACTACCGATATTGATTAGGTGCAGTTTTCTAGGTCATATATTATATCCTAAATTTTCAGCCAGCAAATATCTATATACATATATATATATATTTTAAGATATATATATATATATATATATATATATATTGAGATTTGTTAAGACTGCGACCACTATGCCAGCAACCGGGTCTTGCAACTATGCCAGTACAAAAATATTAGTTTTTCATTGGTTAATTTTAGTATAAGTGCAGTTTAGAAGTGCAAAATCCCCTATTTCGACTATTTTTTTATAAAGTTTATAAAAGTTAAACCGTTTAAGAATTGAAAAAAATATCGGTTAACGTTCAACTTATATCTACATCACATAGATATAACTTATTGACGATAGTCTATAGTCCATTGCTCTATTCACTCTATAGCCTTATTAAATTCTATTATCTATACATGCTACTATTTTTATTTTAAAACAAAATGGGAGAGAGTCTCCAACTCTCCATTCTCCAATACCAGAGTAGAGAGAGTAGTGTAGAAAAGAGACGTGGGAATTTGGTTCCTGGGTTTATATTAAAATTAAATCGATGCGTTTACCGCTCAATTTCTTTAGCCTTTCTTCTCAGACTTCAGGAGGTTCAGGTCGGTCTCAGACCCAGTCTCAGAGACTCAGACTCTCAGCCCAGGACTTCAGCGGCAGCCCCGTCAGAATCTTGCGGAGTTCAGGTCTTTAGACTTCAGTCTTCTCCAATAGGACGTAGCGGGTAGTCTGGAGTGCTAACCTCAATAGGATAAACGTTATTGCACTTATATATCAAAAAGTTACCGATAATTATGTAACGTTTGTAACTGATAGGTACAGTCTGATATAATATAGGTGATGTCATAATTTTGTCCAGTTGTTTTTGGCGCGTCCGGTTACCAATCCCCGCCAATCGAGTGCAAAGTTGAAAAATTCGTCCCAAATAAAAGTTCTAGCCTTTATCTAAAAAGTTAACGATAAAAGCCAAACGTATTGAGGTTTGCTGTAAAATCGTGGACTCATTTTTATTGTTATTTTTATGTCATTCTGCCACAAAAGCACGATTTCGTATTTCCATTTATCAAATTTCATAGCGATTTTTCTTTTGGGGGGTTTTATTCTTGAAAGAAAAAAAAACAAACGTGAGAAACTAAAAATACGTTGTATTTGTTTAAAAAAAAAGGGATATGTATTTGCCCCAGAGTCTATCCTACTACCAAGGACCAGCAGTCTAAATACTCTTTAGTCACAGTGTCTACTCGACTATTTTTTTAAAACAATTGGCAAGTGTCAACTGTCAAATGTCAACCTGTATTTATTGATCAAAAGCCACAACTGTCAATTATAGAACTAATCATTGGTGCATTATATTTTGAGAATAGCATCCCCCCCCCTTACAAAGTCGGATCTAACGTCAATAAGTTATACGTGGTGTACATATATGTTGAACGTCATTCGTTATTTTTTCAATTTATGAACGGTTTCACTTTTTTTAAACTCAAAATATTTATGGTCGAAATAGTGGATTTTGCACTTCAGTACTGCACCCATACTCAGCAATATGGACTGTAAAATCAAAGTTAACCAATAAAAAACCGAAACGGACATATATATTTGCTTGCTTGAAAAGGCAATAAGGCATACATAATATTTATTTGTTTGCTGGATGAAAATTTAGGACATATTATATGACCTATAACCTAGAAGACTGCACCTAATCAATATCGATAGTTGTGTAAATGATACAAAAGTTGAACGTTAACCGATTTATTTTTGAATTTTAAACGGTTTTTGCGTTAGAGTCGGATTATAATTAGGTCATAGGAGTGATAGGGCTCTTGTCTCTAGTCTCTACTACTACTACTACTACTAATAGAGTAGTAGAGAGAAGAGAGAATGGAGAGTAGAGAGAGGGGCAGAGGGCCCTATCGTACATGACTAAATTCGTAACATGACCTGTTCTGTACTTCTGTTCTGAACTTCTGATCTCATCATAACGACAACCGCTAAGTATTGCTATTTTCTCAGAAATAGCTTTGAAAGTTTACTCTCCAGAGAAGAGAGATTTATATTTCTAATTCGTTCTCATGAAAATCGAACACGGGGATCGGGGTGTACTCATTATTTTTAATACTGTATTTACTCTTCTGCTGTGGACTGATTATTTTCAATTTTGTTCATTGTTTGTTTTAAAAAAAGAGAAAAAAATATAAATATCTCGTGACTTCCTCTCCTCGCCCCTCGGGCCTCGGCTCCTCTCTGCAACTCTGCGAGTCCGCGTAAGCCGTAGTATGTATTAATCAACCTTTTACGGCTGTTAGGGCTCCAGGTCTCAAACCCGCAGCCCTCGATTTCCTCAAGCCTTATTAAAAAAATCCAGCCCATAAATAGCCCAAGGCCCCAAGCCCCGAAGTGGATTTTTTTTTGCTTTAAAATAAAAGGAAGCTTTAATTCGGTTTAGAAATAGCATCGTCAACAATTTCTGTAAAAAAAAATTAAAGTACAACCCCGATGGCCCGTCACCGCCCGTGCCACCGATCCGCCGTGTGTGTGGGTGTGTGCGTGGGGCTGTGGAGGTGACTGAGTGAGGAGTGACTGGGTGAGCAGTGTCAGTGGGCGAGAGTGACTGAGTGAGGGACTGAGTCTGAGAGGCTGAGAATCCGAGAGTCAGGGCGGCACAGTTAGAATCGGTGACGGAATACGGATCACTGGATGTCTGGATCAGGTGCTCGGCTCGCTACTCACCAGCTGCTCGCTTAGTTGATTTTAAAATATAATGTACTTGATTGTCATCGATGAAAGTCATTTTTATATTTATGTATTTTATATGCAACAAACCAAAAATTTATATATATATATATATATAGAAATATACTTCTACAACATTGAAAATCAAACGAAATAGATTCGATGTTTTATAAGCGGCATTGCTTCCAAGCAGCAAAGGATTCAATATTCGCTACATATCAGGACAATAATATTTAACCTAGAGAGATGGTATCCGGAGTATCAGATGTACAGTCTATGTCTTCGACAAGTGAAGCAAACGAACACGCCCAAGACTCAAAATGTCCTTGTTATAGTAGCACCGACTTGACTCGGTCTGAGTCGAGAATTCGATTTTCGTTGAAAAAGTTTAGTCACAGCAGTGTTGCTTCTTTTGATGAATTCTCATTAAACGCAACAACTCCAAGATCTCGCAGAGTGAAGACACGAAAAGGTGGAGTTTTGCCTAGTGAATTAAAATTATTTTTGACCGGTTCACGCAAATCGAGTGACGCGTCGGATTCCTCGGCCAATAATGCATCTCCCGATATAATAGGCAACAATTATGGTGGTAACATCTTTCGTTATAGGAGTTCTCAGTCATCCACAGATACTGCCATCGGGGACTGTGGAGTAAGTTCACTATCGGCATCTCGCACTCCGTCTCGTAAGCTCAGTGCGGACATGGATCAACTGATGACCATGTACAAGAAAGAGGTTTCATTAGCAGAGGAATCAGTTCTTTGTCGGGTTAATGACTTGGACGTTAAGGTGCAACGTACTATAGTCAATCTTGCCGCGTTGTCGTCAAAAGATTGCTCTCACGACACTTGTATCATGGTACAGGTGAATGTGGCAAAAAAACTTTTGGATAAAACGTTCAAGGCTGCGATCAAATGTAGATCAGCGGTTTCAAAGTATTTGCTGAAGCAGAATGATAAGATTTGGCGCATGGCGCATTTGGATGGGGCTGAAGTTGAACTGAGTGACTGTGAGATGAAATTTCTATTTGGCATAATCCACGCTGCATTTCGACGAAGTGTAGCACTAGCCAACGAGGTGTTACAGTCCGTGCATTCTAGCTTAATCGAGTGGGATACCAAACTATGCAGGATATCGAAATTGCTATTGAAGCCTAGCAGAGGTATCCGTGGGCCATTGCGTCGAGACAACCGCACCAGTCCGAGGAACAGGGCCGTTCTTACCTCACACGACCCTGAACCGGAAATGCAGGAACCATATATAATGAAGTACGCCACTGGAAAGCCGTATGCTTTGATCGAACTGCAGTCACCTAGTTGTGTGGCTGGACTTGGAGAAAGATCATGCTAACCATAGCCAGATCAGAAAGAAAATAGCAGCTTTTCTAACCCCGAGGCTAGTGTAGCGCGGTGTCTGAAAACTCAAAAGTATCTATAAATAACTATCATCCTTTGACGTTTCACAGCAGATTTGGTCGATGACATAGATAGATAAAAAAAATAACCAACACAGGTCCATGTTCCTTCAAATTTTGGTTTCTTCTAGACAAAAACAAAAACAACGCTATCTCTACATTAACTTCGGGTTTCTCTATTCATATTACGTCTCTATACGAAGTATTAACTTAGATTATAAGCCGGCTTCAGTGCAAGGAGCTATTAATCAGCACAACAACGCCCACGTCTTGCTATATGTCCCGTAACAGTGAATAATACTGTACAAGAGACTTGCACTATGGCTGGTGGTCACCGCAAGACTGAACAGTCGTTTGCAATAACCCCAGAGTGCGATTTGATACAGTAAAAATAATGATGGCAACTCTAAGAAAATGATTGTACCAGAATAGAAGATTTGTCTTGACAGCAGCGATAATCACCGTTACCGTCATCACCAGGAGGAATAGGAATAGCAAGCCTTTATTACCTGTGTACCTGTTTATATCGAGTGCATAACTTGTGACATCAGAAAGAGGTGTCTTTACCATCTAGACTAACTGGACCGTCTAGGTGACCATCTAGACTAACTAGACCGTCTAGGTGACCATCTATACTAACAGGACCATCTAGGTGACCATCTAGACTAACAGGACCGTCTAGGTGACCATCTAGACTAACAGGACCGTCTAGGTGACCATCTAGACTAACTAGACCGTCTAGGTGACCATCTAGACTAACTAGACCGTCTAGGTGACCATCACCCTACTACTTCTTAAGATATCTCCCCTATCACTAGAAACAATCTCCCTAGGTATACTTCTATATATACCTTACTATCCCTAGGGCTATAGGGTTCTATACAACTATCCTTAGACCTATGTATCCGCAGGGTATACTCTATAGATATCCTTACCTACAATGCGTGAAGAGTCGCAAACTGTACCAGCACATCAATAGGCCGACTTTATCTTTTTTTATAACAAAAAGGCTAATATAAAACGAACTTGATAGCTTTCACAGAGAGCATTATAAAAACTGCCGTATTGTCACACTTTCACGCCCAAGCCCCAAGGCCCTGCTCCCAAGGCCCCGCTCCCAAGCCCCCGCTCCCAAGCCCCCGCTCCCAAGCCCCACGGTATATTATAAAATCTACCAAAAAGGTGTATATGTGCATACATATTTACATAAATACCATATTTATGCAAGACGCTTTTTATATATAATGTTTTTTTATTGAAAAACAATATCAGGCAGAGCCGCAGAGCGTTTCCGTCGATCAAGTATTCCCGCCGGTCTCTTGAACTTTGATAAATTAAAAAAAAACAAAAAACAAACGAGAAATATTATCATATTTATTTATTTATTTACTAAATACAAGTCAACAACAATACGTAAAAAAAAAAGCCTTGTTGTGGATGTATTTAAAAAAGAACACTTGAACCCTGAATCTTCCTGAACTTACTGAAGTGTAAAACCCTCGTGTCCTGGATAAACTTTGGTTTTCCATAACCTATTTTCGTGTGGACGGAAACCCCTTACGTTGATAAACCTGGAAGCAGAGGATGGACCGTTCGAGTAATTTAGAGCGCCACTTTCATGTGCACCAACAAGATCGTCCTTGGTTGTCTCTCACCTATAAATAACTAGGACAGTCGGTCGACAGTTGTCACTTCTTTGCTGTGATACACAGACCACAGGACACTGCGACCGACCTGTGTTGAATAAACCTAGACTCCAAGATAGTCCAAGTACATACTCCTCTTTCGTGTCAGACCCACGGCTACGGGGCCATTTCAAAGGCCTGAACTTCTCATTTCTGAAGTTCTGAAGTGTGCTGGTCTGCTGGACTCACACTCTCCGATTCTCAGGCACTCAGCTGGAGTCGCTGAGATTGAGCAAAATGCGGCGGCCATAGTTGCCGCAGCTTGTTGGACCTACCCCTGAAATCAGAACTGGAACAGTCAGAACTCGAACGTCAGAACGGTAGTTACATAAATAAATACGTAAAAAAGTACTCTCCTTGAGAATTGCACCCAGTTTAAAACAATCAAGGGAGATGGTATTTATTTCTACTACATAGTATAGCATAAATAAACGTGAACTCTTTTTACGACACGCATATTTTGAATACAGAAGCCGAAGCCCGAAGGCTATGCAAATTATGGAGGCATCGCAAAAAAAAAAACGACTATTTCTTGTCTTTGTTTCTTTTGTTTTGTTAAAAAACAACAACAAAAAAAAATAACAACAACAAGCAACAAGTGGTTTGTTTAAAAAAAACCCCCCCCATAGCCTTCTGAAAATTAAAGAAAAACAAATAAAGATGAGAAACGAATTGAGATTTGAGGAGTGGGACATTTGAGGTTCTTTTTCTTTTCTTTAAAACCAAAAAAAACATTTATATTTTAATTTTATTTATAGTCCTATTTATCCGACTCCTATGGAACAGGCAGCCGCTGAAGTTTGAAGTTTGAACTCAGCCATACATTATCAAGAAGAACATAGCCTTCTGAATCATACAGAAAAATATAAATAAATATGAGTCATAGCTTCATAGTGATAGACGTGATGAATTATTTTAACCACAGAAATGTAAACCGATACCAATTCGAAGACGATTGTCACTTCACATGTGTAGTGTGACTGGTGTCTACACGGAACTCTGCAGAGCGTTTTGGTGCATGGAACGGGAACGAAGATCATCACATTGCGTTCCTTATCCACTATACCTGTACCGTGTCTCGAATCCCAGCGATATATGTTGAATTATAGGAATTTCTAGCAGTGGTAAGATTGCGGCGTAACCCCTTTCGTGCATGCATACAGTTTTAAACATGTGTACAAGATTTGAATACAGAAAGTAAACTATACAAATTGGAACAAACAGGAAGCCACTCAGCATGTCGACGAAAATATGCCCTGATCATCGCTATACGTAGATATGTATATCGGTATATAATCATACAGGTCTACAGGTATATCTACAT